CCATCTTCTTCTAGCTTACCATAATGACAACAATTGAAATCAAATCAAATTTGAATAATTGCTTTTATTGCTAATATATACATATATTGTTCATATATTTATTTTATTGTTAATAATACACACGCACACAATTAAACCTCTTACACAATAATTACTACACTCCCATTCCAATGTTTGATGTTGATAAGACTTTCTCATCAAGGCTGCATTTATACAAAAACCGGTAATATTGCCATTTAAAACAACTGTTTCTTTTTGAAATTCTCCTACAGGTGACTTCCCGGGCTCCGTAGAGTATTTAACTTCTGTCACCTGTGGGTGGAAAAAATTATGCCCAGAAAACTGCAGAATTACAGGCAACCCTGAGTCACGTCAGAGTCACTGAACAAGTTGTTCTCTCTGACACTGCAGCGCAGCAGTTCCAGCAAATTAAACACGCACCTGCCCTCGCCTGCAAGACCGGTTCTAGACAATTGGTGGCCCTAGGTAAAATTCATGTTGAGGCCCCCCACCCCCAATAAAAATGCAAATGTGATTCCTAACTTTTTTATTTATACAACCTTTCATTTTAAATTTTGTATATTTTTATTTATACAGTACACTCTAAAAATATGCTGGGTTGTTTCAACCCAACTTTGGGTCAAATATGGACTAACCCAACTTTTGGGTTAAAAATGTAAACATTTTAGCCAACGGTTGGGTTAGTCCACATTTGACCCAAAGTTGAGTTGAAACAGCCCAGCATTTTTTAGAGTGTACCGGTCAAAAGTTACTATTATTAATGTTTTTATAAGATGTCTCTTAGGCTCATCAAGGCTGCATTTATTTGATCAAAAATACTGAAAAACAGTAATACTGTAATATTGTAATATAAAACAGTAATATTATTACAATTTAAAATAATGGTTTTATATTTTACTACACTTTAAAATATAGTCTATTTCTGTGATGCAAAGCTGAATTTTCATCAGTCATTATGTTCATCAGTTTCAGTGTCACATGATCCTTCAAAATCAGTCTAATGTACTGATTTATTATCAATGTTAGAAGCTTAATAGTTATTTTATAACCTGTGATACTGTGATATTTTATAGTCTGTGATACGTGCGATACTGTGATAATTTTTCCAAGATTTCAGGATTAAAAAGTTGTTTAAAAATAAAAAATATAAATATGTTTTAAACAATATAATTTTCTATTGATTACACTAAACAAAAACATTGAATGGATAAATGATCTATATTCTCTTTTTTTTTTTTTTTTTTATAATTATATTGGAGCATAATAAACAAAGGTGTTGTTATAAATATATAACAACAATTTGATATACTATTTTACTTTATGAAATATGTGTGTAAAATGGCCATTAATTGGTATTCCCATTCTACACAATGTACCAATACATTGTATCAAATTTGCATATTGATGTGTTCTTGGGGTAACCTGTAAAGAAAAAAAGGTGTAAAGGGTAATAATGGGAGTATAATAACTTGGCAAAATTTTCATAAGAAATTCTCTTATTATATAACATGCTGTATGTCCTGGTGTCCACTGCCGAGCACGTATATGAAAACTATGCACTGTTTCATAACAAAAAGCCATATTCTGATTTTAAACCCCATAAGATTTTCCTGAGGTGTTTATTTACAACAAACAATTTGAAAAAGAATCAGATTTAAATAATAACTACAAAATATCATATTTCCATATGAGAGCTGAATTTAGTGGAGGATGGGGTAGTTTGATCTCAATGTTTGTTCCTGCTTTGGGTACATTGTGCCTCTTGTGTCTTTTTGGACCATGCATCGCCTCCTGCATACAACAGCAGATAAACAAAATATGGAGGTCAAGCTGAGGTCTCTGCATGGTTACAAAAAACATTACATTCTGTTCATTACATCTCAATAAGAGTGTCGATTTGTCCAATCACTTAACTGTTGTAAGACAACAGGCAGAGGCACATTCCTCTAACTAATGATGGTACCCGGTATGACAGATAACTAGTTTTTTTGTGTTTTTTTAAAGATTATGCACAGACCGGCCAACCCAGTGTTTTTTAGAGTTTGACACTTTTTATACATAGTAGTTTTACTGCACTAGCAGTAAAGTACACTGATAACAATTTCACAAAATTTTCACTCAGAAATTGCTAGTAAACTTCACAATGATTTACAAAGAAACGGCAAGTAACACATTGAATTTAGTGTAACATTTTGAAGTAGAAAGACTCAAATAGTATTTCATTTTCTTGTAAAACATCCTATGTTTTTGTGGCATGCAGTGCCCATGAAAGGCAATTTTTTTTCATCGTACAAAATATGTTTTTTTATTATTGTGCTGTTAAAAAATGGTGTAGAAACAATTGTCACTCGGAAATTGCTAGTAAATTTCACAAATAATTACAAGTGACACATTGAATTAAGCATGAATAGAAATTTAGAAAGTAGAAAGACTAAAATAGCATTTTCTTGTCAAATGTAGGCTACTTCAATAATCATTGTTTTATTTACAGCTTCGAAAAATAATTTTCATAACTCCAACTTCTCACGAAAAGGTCTACTGTTTTTTTTCTATTAAGGCTTTGTATATATTCCTTCTTGTAAACTTTGATCTGATGTATATATAATGTCCAATTGCATAGTTGTAAATCTTTTAGAACACTATCAATAAAATTGGACTTGGTTGCTCTTTGTGGTACCTTTTTTCATGAAGTCATCTGTGTGCACAACGCCCTGTAAGTTGTGTTTTCCTACTTTCCTACATAGTTTTACTGTTAAACATTGAACAGCCTTACATGTTCAAAATTCAACAACAACTGAAGTATTTCTTCAGCTCTTCAGCTTGTTAATCTGGTTCAACAACACGCTCTTAAAGAATGTGCAATGTAGTGTGTGGGTAGGGGTTGGTGGTGGTTAGGGTGGAGCACTTGCATCTCTTTAAATCATAGCGTGCCCTCCATTGCGGCCCCTTTGCTTGATGCCAGCACGCTAGTGATCACATCTCCAGCCTCTCAATCATAAATCAGTTAAGCAATTAGTCGATAAAATGTCTGCTGAGTTTGAACTTTGTCCTGGAAGAAAAATCGGGGGCTCCAACCCCTGTTTTATCATCGCTGAGATTGGACAGAACCATCAAGGAGACATAGAAATCGCCAAAAAAATGATCCGAATGGCCAAGGTAAAGTACTGCTGTATTTGATCAAATTTTCCTGTATTTCTAATTTTTTATTTTATGCTCCATTGTTATATAAATATATTTCAATAGTGTTTTTTCCTATACATTTTCTTAAACATGATCTGAGCCCATAAGAGTCACACATCACATCAAATTAACTTTTAGATTTTAGAAGCTCCACTGTTTCTTCTACACACTTAAAAAATAAAGGTACCATGAAGTGCCATTTTTGGTTCCCCAAAGAACCTTTCAGTGAGCAGTTCTTAAAAGAACCATTTTTTTCTTACTGTGAAGAACATTTTTAAAATCTAAAGAAACGTTTTTTTTTTGTTTTTTTTTACTTTAAAGAACCTTTTGTTGAATTGAAAAATTCCATGAATGTTAAAGTTTCTTCATGGAATCATCAATTCCAGTGAAGAACCTTTATTTTTAAGTGAATACGGTGACCGTTCTCTTTTTCTGTACACTCTGAAATTTGTTTTTCATGACTATTGTCAACCAAAATCCAGCTCTACTTCCCCTTTTGTCTCCACGCAGGACTGTGGAGCTGATTGTGCCAAGTTTCAAAAGAGTGAGATTGAACACAGATTCACCAAACACGCTCTGGAGCGTCCCTACACGTCCCCTCACGCCTGGGGGCCGACTTACGGGGCTCATAAGCATCATCTGGAGTTCAGTCACCAGCAGTACAGAGAACTGCAGCAGTACGCCAATGACATTGGCATCTTCTTTACAGCATCAGGGATGGATGAGGTGAACAAATGCAAAACGTTTATGATTTATAGCAAGAAAATATGCAAATGTCAATCCAAAACCAAGTAGACTCTAATGCACCTCTTAACTTTTCCTCTCCCTATCTCTGTCAGATGGCCATAGAATTTCTTAATGAAATCAATGTGCCGTTTTTCAAAGTTGCCTCAGCAGACACCAACAACATCCCTTACCTGGAGAAAACCGCCAAAAAAGGTAAAACTCACTGAAGTTGACAGCCATTTGAAATGAAAAATCAGTAGATGTTTTCAGAAGTTGTTGTTCCTCAGACTAATTAAATGGCACCCCAGCTCACGGTAACAAAAGGCTATCCAAAGTGTGAGAATGAGAAAAGTACAAGCAGAACTGAGAACTGAATATATCAATAGCTTCCCATGTGCATTTGAAGTCAGTTATTCTGGAGTACCTGCATTTTCAACCAGAGCTAAGAGAATGAAACCTACAAATCCCGGTGCGGATTTTCTGGATTTCCATTCTTGAAGTTAGTTTCTGCAGGTGATTGCATATATAAAGTCTGCAGAGAAATCAAAACCAACTAAAACATTGACTTTACTTTCTCCCAGAAGCAGGCATGTCTTGAAGCTAACATTTTGGCTTGTTTTGTAGGTCGTCCCATGGTGATATCTAGTGGAATGCAGTCGATGGAGACCATGCACTGTGTTTACCAAACCGTTAAGAAGCACAATCCCAATTTCACTTTCTTGCAGTGCACCAGCGCTTATCCACTGCCGATAGAGCACGTCAACCTCAGTCTGATCCCTGTAAGACAAACCACTTTCATCTTGTAAACTACGCAAATTACTGATGAAAATGTTACATAACGAAGATTTTTTCAAGAAAAATGTGCATGAATACGATTAATTACATTTTTCATTTTGCTAAATTTTGACATGCTAATTTATTATATAAAATGCTTGAATGTTTCTTTTGCAAAAATTAGTCATTGGTTTATTTTAAGATATCAGTTTTTTACCAACGTGTTGTGTTTGCCAAATTTTTTAAAACTTAATAAAAACTATATAGATATAAAAACAAACAAAATGACTAAACCCTTAACTAAAACTAAAATGAAAACAGAAAATATAATAAAATATAATAAAACTTCAAAAATTCAATGACACTAAAATAACACTGATATTTCAAATATGCTAAATGAATGTGTACAATGTTTGAATATTTGGTTTCATTTTGCAAAAATTAATTGTTAATTGTTATATTGCTCATGCAGGGTTATTATCATTAACTAAATGAAACCTAAAACCACAAACATTAAATAAAGTAAACTGAAATAAAATGAAAATGTGAAAACTTGAACTAAACTTAGTTTAGTACTTCAAGTATTAAAAAATGTGAATAACTAATATTAAAATTAAATAAAAACTATATAGATGTTTTTTTAACTAATACAAATTACAAAATTAAAGAAATACAAAATTACTAAAACTTTAACTCAAAGTAAAAATGAAAACCAAATGTAAATATTTAAATATCATTGTTTTTTGAATTTGGTATGCCAAACATATATCAAATATTTGATTGATTTTGTAATTCTCATTTAAAATGTTATTTTGATATACTAAAGTTAAATGTAATTTTAGTCAGTAATATTAACAAACATGAGATATTGACTAAATTTAAAGGATA